TATTTGTAAACTACTGATTTTTATCCTAATGAAAATATCAAATTTTCATGAGTTGTCTTTCCATATGACTGATTATGAATTCTGTCAATTTCTAACCCACCGAGTTAGGTTCATAGAGAAGTTTCCAAATTTGGCTTTCTATAGTAACAGATTCTAAATAAGAGTCACGCTTCAAACATACTTCAGTAGTGTGCATGTTCTTAATATAGCTACATCAGTTGTTAGTATAACAGCAAGAATTGGTTACAGCATATTAAGTACCCCGAGGTGCACTTCGCAAGATAGACTTTATGTGTAGAGATTTAATAAATTTTGAGCTTGTGTTCTGCGAGCAATCAGTGAGGAAACACTTAGGCAAATGGAATGATAGATCCTCTGACATTAATACTTCATAATTTTCTTAATGAAGTCACGATCGGCTGTCAAAAGATTATTTTAGTGGTTGAAAAAAAAATTTGTTCTTGATAGTATAGGGTAGATGTACTGCTGAAAGGTATCATTCCTACTTCTTGTACTGCAGACCCCAGTTCAAAGTTCAAACCCGGCCAGCGTTGGGTTTGAATTGGAGTCTGATCGCTTGGCTCCTTGAATAATCCTCATATTAAGAGTTAGGCGGGTTAAGGACAATGTTTGTATCTGTATGTGTCCGTTATATGTTGTAGTTAAGCAGGGTGGGGCTGCACTTCGGCTGTCGTGGGTCCCCAGGGGCCGAGCCTGAATTTCCAATTTCCAATTAAGTGACGACCAATAAAGAATTATTATGGTCTCTTTAAATATTACTGTTCTCCTAGAGGTAACAATTTGAGATAAAGGTAAACCTAGATATCTTCTAGGTTTATCATATTTGACTTTAGTATATTACTATAGGACTGAGGTAAAGACACATCAGTGTTCTGTTGTTAGGCGTATTTGGAAGTGTTTGAAATGTGTGTTGCGTTGTTTCAAATTTGTGTTTAGTTGTTGGTATAGAGCTATTTACAATTTAATGTCAAGGAAAAAAAAGAAGACAATTTGCATGATTTTTTAATGATGGATTTACATGGTTGCTGTGGCAACAGCTCTTCCCTTATAATCCTCTACATCATAGAGTAGTACAGTATTACGTCACGATACCACGTGATACTATTCCGTTGTTATCGGAGACACAAAATGCGTTCAACCTGACGCCATTTTCTCCACTGACAAACCATTGATCCCAATTTCTAACATAAAATAAATAAATTTTAATTGATGATTAAATGTGTGTTCGATAACTAATATAATGCAAGCCTTTGTGTTTTTAGTAAATTTTGATGGTAAATTATTAGGTTTTAAAATTCCTATTCCAGAAAGCCTATTCTAAACCATTAAGATTATGAAGCCATTCAGGCGTAGTGAAGGTAACCATCGTCTGGTTGACAACAAAGGGCGCCACCTGGTGTTGTGACAACACTACTATTGTACTCTACATGAGGTTTTTGTGAAAAAAAAAAACATCTTTCCTTATATTATAATATAATGAAATCAATGCTTTATAATGGGTAGTTTTCGCAGCACGACCTTAACTTTAACAGATGACGTCATAATTTATTTATCTTGCATTGCAGAGTACGTTAATTTCAGGATTATATGTACTCGACGTACGTTAGTTGTTACGGGTTTGCTCATGCGCATTTTGATTTTTGTTTACAAAAGGGGCGGAGTTATCGCGTTGTATGTTGTAAAAAATATTTAATAGTAGATTAATAACTTAGATAGATAGATTAATAAATTTTTTATAATATGAGGTATGGCATTCCAAAACCAGCGTACTGTTAGTAATTGTCAAATTGAATAATTAGCCTTTAGAATGTGGGAGTATTGTGTGCTTTAGGACAGGGAAGCTGTGGTACTTTTACTCTCAACATTGGCAATATAATAAGAATATATTTAACAGTCAATTGTCATATTTTGTTGTCACTGGTACTAGTTTTGTGATGGCAGGCCTCTTATAAGTCACTTTTATTCTTTACGTATGTTTTATTACGTTTTGATTCAACCTGTTAGTGGTGGTTTTTATCACTGTTGGTTTTGAACTGAATAAAATAAATACTAAAAATAAAACCTATGGGGCGCGACCCAATGTTTGAGTCGCGGAAACATTTACTGTAGATGGGTTGCATAATCTCTTCAGAACGTGCAAACTCTGCTTAATACGAACAAGGACATTGCAAAATCAAATTACAGTAAACGAAAGTGCAGTTTACTTTTAAAATGCATTTTTGTTATCATAGTCTCATTTGTTATTTTGTTATTTTACTTTTAGTATTTGTAAAGCGCCTATTCCGTTATCAAAACATTTTTACTTCAGGTATGACAATTTGAAAGTGTTTACTTTTATTCCTTTCAGTGTGTTTGGCTTTCAGCTGAAAATTATAACGACAAAACATTTTTATCTTCAATTTAATGTGTCTGTCTTTGCATAGCTAACCCATATTTCCTGCAGCAAATCTATGAATTTGTGTAGGCCTATAGTAAAATGTCTATAAAACATTCATTTAAAAAAAAATCATATTGAAACATTTGATAACTACGTGCTTTGTTAAATGAATAATTTTTATGGGTTTAAAATTGATTGTGTGGGTGATCTTTGGAGTATCTTTTAATCAATTACTAAAAGAATCAAGTAGGTCCTTCTGATACCCCTCGCACGTATATAAAACGACTTACATAATTTATTGACCTAATTCACTCAGACGAAAAAATAATAATACCGTATTTAATCATTTCACCATGAAATTCAGGTGAGAAATTTGGCTTCCGGTTTGATGGGTCATGTCTGAGTGCTTGACATAATTTGGGTCATGGGCTAAAAATGTTGTGGAATGGGTATATAGGTCATCCAGATGACAATTTTATTTTACTGTATTAAATTTTTATTGGAATAAGATCCAGTTGATGTGTTCAAAAATTGCTGAGAATCCTGTTGAGCATTTCTATTTTAACTAAATAAGTAAATAGACAGTGTTGTAGTATCAGACTCTACTTACATTATCATATATCAATATTCCAAATAATTTAAATT